AAAAAAAAAAAATTAACACAGACCCATTTATAGATAACGAGCTGCTTTCTCTCAACTTAATTACATTATTTATTCATTTCATTATTCATTTGAAAAGAGCATCTTGCTTGTACAAAGAAGCAATGAATTAGAATGTTGTTATTACTGCAATTACAAAATTAGCCTATATTTCTACGATGAACCACTCCAGGACATAAATAGATCCCACTTATAAATAACTCAGTGCACAGCAGCTTGAGCGCTTTGTGGGGTATCAGCCTCCGACAAGCAAAGTTTAAATTTTTATGAATGTATTTTTTAATGATATCGTTTTTCAAAAAGGTATCACTTTCACTTCTCCGCGTGCACAGAGTTCTTTTTCGCATGACTGTCGACCTGCCTCCCTCTACAAATAAAATTCAAGATGGCGCACGTGAAGTGACAGGCCCGTATGGCTTGACAGAATAGGTTGACCGAATAATACGCGAAAAACTTTCAAATGAGATCAGCATATAATGTCACGGTAAAAGACGTTAAAGAAGCGAATATACAGATAATCTTCACAACGTCTGAAGTAGTTTATTTTATTTTTGCTCATTACCTCAGATGGCACGCTCCGTGGTTTGTGACCGATACTGCATTACGTCATTTTCAAATTAACGTTGGCCGTTATGTGGGAAAATTGTGGATAGCAGGACAAAAACTCACAAGTAAAATAAATATTAAATCTTTCAAACAAAACTTTGCAAAGTGAAGAAAAACCCATTAGCAAGGCAGGAGATAGGCCCTGTGTCAGCCTAGAAAAAGGAACAGTAGGCCTACCGGCAGATAAGCAACTATGTAATTACGTCGGCTTACAGCAAGCGGCAATTAACTCCCCGTCGAGCATAAACAGGGTGACAAGCTGCCACTGATGGACAAGCGGGGTTGATTTGCATATTAGCGAACATAGGGCGGGCTTGACGTCGTCTCATTTTCATTGCCATTGTGTTTTGCCCTATAATTATCTCGTCACCATGTACGCGTACAGACGTCAGAAAATGATCAATTAGTTGTCGCGGGAATTATAGGCATGACAGTAATTACCAGCGTTTTTGTATTTTTCTTAATGCCAGGAGGAGACATTTCATTCAGTCAAGTCGATTGCAGTCAGTCAGTCCCCCCCCCCCCCAGAGTTGGGTCGACCTATGTAGACCGATTGTGTTTATGGGAATGGGGCTTAAGACGTTGACTTCATGTATATTTTGGCAGGACAAATAGTGCTTACTGGGAGTATGATTAATTAACTCTAGAGAGTCCTAGTGGACAATAGAGGTTAACATTCAAAATATCAAACAGATCACTCAGCAGAGTTCAGACAAGTATACAATTAAAAGATCCTCTGGAAGTCTGAGTTATTGTAAAATATAAACACCTGAAGTCGAAGGAGGGACCTAGGTCTCGAAGTACTAGTAAAACCAAAAGTTGTTACTAACTTAAAATATGTCAGAGCTCCGAGTTGATGCCTCACCTTTTCGAGCAGTTGAGATTGTTTCACAGACAGATCCCCAACCCTTCCACTCATGTTTTGGCTGGAAACCGCACACAGACTAATCAATGCCGTGTCTGTGTTGCACCTGCAGCCGACTGCGATTGACAAACATGTGCGCATGCGCAGTATCAATCAGGCAGACGTGCAGTTTTTAGCGTTTGCATCTAATCAGCTTAAGAGGCTAAATACTGTTAATATGCCATTCAAAATGTAATTGATTTCATTTAGGCCCATATCCATTTTTTACACAAATATCATGATTGAATGCTCGATATTTGCAGAGAAACTTAGGGGTCATCCATTTTTATCATCCATTTCACAAGTCTTGGGCCTAGTAGACCTACCGGTACGCCGGGGTGGGTGGGTGGCTGGGGGATAATCTGGTAATGCCATCTGTACGCTTTTGAAAGGTAATAAAAATGATGATCAAAATTGTTCTCAAAGGTCATCAGTTTTTGCTTTTCACTCTCTGAAGGGGGGGGGGCTGGAAAAATCTAGGCCTACTCTTTGTGACACTCGGCCTTAGGCCTATAGGCTAGGCCTATCACAGACCAACGACTAAAAAGGTTTATCAAAACTGTAACACAGTTATTTTGACATATAAGACGTGCTCTAAAAAGTTCGTATAGGCTTAGGCCTATATCATGTTATGTAGGCCTACTTAATTATAGGCCTAGGCTACCTACAATCTACGCGCAATCCTAGCTATATAGGCCTATTTTTCTGTTAAAAAAGAATTTCGTCGTTAACTAATCCAACGAAATCTTTCTTTCTTTTTTTTTTCTAAATCAACGATATTATTTACAAAGTAACGTCAAAAATAGGCCTATGTATAAGCTTTGATTTGCACATTGAGCTTGGGAAGATGAGCAGGAAATAGGGCCAATTTAACAGAAATTCACAAATCAAAGTCTAAATTGAACTCTACGAAAGAGTATTCTGATACAAAATTTTTTATCGCTCATACTTAAATTTTGTATACCATTTTAATATCAGAAGGTGCCTTGGAGTCAGCATATACTTATTTTCATGATGGCCGGGTCCACGGTGCAGCTGCCGGTTCCTTACATTAGGCCTACTCCCTCAACCTATTGCGTCAATTGTCCAGGATAAGGGACTTTCTCTACTACCGCATTCAATTCTCTCACCCATCAAAATAAAATGTAAGGCCTCCTGCACATAGTAGGCTATATCGGCGACTGACTTCATAATCGGACAAACACGGGTAATCCATTCACCACTTTCATTAGGCTATATAATTGCTTGCCCCAAATTAGGTTTTTTAGTTTTTATTCACGTGTTTTTATCTTTCCAAATCCCAAATCCCAACCTTTAAAAAAGGTACGTACAGCCTTGAGTTATGGTAGAAAATAAAATATGGACAGAAGCGCTCAGTAATTTCATTTTACAACAAAACCCAGTTGAAAAAAAAAAAAAAAAAAGAATAAAACAACTTTAAAGCAAGCGAATAATCAATAAATTTCCTAATTAGAGATTAAAACTAACGAAATATGATCGACAAATCTAAAAACGAATTTTTGAATATAGTTTAAGGCCTAGCGCTGCCAATGAATGGTAAGGGTGACGTAACAAAAATTAGTTTCAAAATTAGTTTCACATGCTGAGACATTAACGCTACATTGTAGCTTATCGACCCCTTTTAACCCAATATCCTCTGTATAAATCAGTATTTTTGTTCATATAGGCTAAAAGCCTTATTTTCATTTAAAAAAACGCAAAATATCAGCAATACCAGGTAACAGGGGCGGATCCAGGATTATTTGAAGAGGGGGGGGGGGGGGGGGGGTCGGTGTGGGGGGGGGGGGGGGGGGGGGGGGGGGGGGGGTCCGCGGATGTGAAGCCGACCTCCCCGTGGGGTTCGGGGCCCTTTGGCGGGCCTCAAAAATTTTTGTTATTTTAGAGGACGAACGGTGCCATTTGGTACGGTTTAGAGCTATGATTCAGCTAGTCAAAATTCTAATTTCAAAAGGAGACCATTGGTGTGATTTTTTTTCAGAAATCGAAGGGGTGGGGGTTAAGGACTCCCCTGACACCCCCCTCCCCCAATAAATCCGCCACTGTGTAACCTCTCCACTTCTCGCTGTGCTGGCAAATGCTATTTGAGCACTTTGTGTAGACATAATAATTAGTGAATATGCAAGCTTTTAGCAGAGTGACAACGGATACAGCACCACACCTGACTATCTTTATTTACCTTTTTTTCTGGACAAATTGTTTTGGCATATAGTAATTGAATAGGAAAAGACACTATTAGCCACAATTTTACTTATGAAGTTACACAAAAGGCAGTATGCCAAGGGCCAGTCAGCTGCTTTATTATTTTTTCAAATTGTTTACTCAATATACAAACCAACACATTTCTAAATTTTATTTTCTTTGGCTTCGATTAGCTGTCGACGCGACACAAATTGCAGTGGTTTAACAAAGTTTGGAAGGGTTGAAATTTGGGAGGTACTCTTTAGATAACTCCTTCATTTATCACAATGATATCACCTTTACCAAATTTCGCCTTTACCAATAGATGAATGAGTAAAGAAAATAACTACAAACTGAGCAACAAACCAAAAGGAAATGTTGACGCCGAAGTACAACCAAAACTTCATGCCGGGAAACTGAGTGAATTTAGAGTGTACTTAGACTATGTGTGATGGATGTCTGAACTAGAATAACTCTAACAATATTTTCACTGTAGTCTCCAGTTGCTTTATTTGACCACTTCTGTTGAAAAATAACCAAAAGGAGTTCTATCAAGGAGAATTTAAGAATAAGTGTGTTTGTCCAACTGCATACGAAAACTGAAAGCCTTGTTTGTTTGGCTTCGATTTTGTACAAATATCTGACACATGAATAGCACGTCACATACATTTTTCATATTTGTTAAGCAGAAACACAAATAATTTTAAGCGTTAAGATATTCATGACGACATGAATTTTGCATTTGCTTCACCGATGTGAACCAAAATTGTAACTGCTGTAGCTTTAAAGAAAGCCACTTCCTTTGTATATATAGTTTGTTGTTGCAATTTAAAGGCAGTTTTTATTTTGAAAGTGAGAAGTTGATGCACACGCAGTCACTAAGGTAGGTCGTTGTAAGGTCTAAGATTTTGTAGATCAGCGAGGTTCTTCTGAAAATTGCTGAACGTTATAAAATATTATACATACACAAATCGCTACCCAGATATGCTGTTCACGATGTTTCAAATCGAGTTTTTTATAAGAAGAGAGAGGACATGTTAACGTTTTATACATGTGATTACTACAGATTGAATTAAGCGATTTACATAAAGTGCAATAAACCATAACGTCAAGTTTGCCCAGTTAACGGTTATGTCTTTTAGAAAGTGTTTATTTTATACCCTATCATACCATCATTTTTTTTCATAAAACAAGAATGACGTCATCACATCGCGTCCAACGCACAAACAAGCAATTAGAGCGCACGCAGCAAGCGAATCGTCTGGCTGACAGACAGCTGGTCGAGAAGCTTGAGGCACTTCATTTGTCAGAGAAGACGCGTTTGCATGAAATAAGAACGGAAAATATATTGCTTAAAATGGAGTTACGTGACAGTCAGTGTCGAGAATTGATAACTGCATTGAAACGCCAAGTTCTTTCTTACAATGACGTTGCCATGAACACTCAGTCCCCAAAAAGGTCTAACATCCGTCGTAGTGGAGAAGAACGCATCGAAGATAATAAATCAGCTGAAATTGATCGGCGCTGGAAAAAATTGCCTATATTGAGCAGCCAGCCACGGATGCTTTTTCAAAGTTTGCCTCCAAACCCAAGAAAATATTATGATGATGGCAATAGCGACTCTGATGCGTCATTAAGCAGTTTTTATGAAAGTGGGTCAGACGATCAGGATGATTCTGACGATTCCCGATCGATGACGAGACAGGTCATTCGTCAAGTGAGAGAGGCGCAAACTGCGCCAACTTTAAGACGACTTCCAAAAATATCCGCAAAACTCGGAAAACTAAAAGCCGCTCAAAAAAATAAACAAACAAAAAACGAAATGAAGGTTGGGCCAAAAGAGCCCAAAAAACGTAGAAAAAGTTTAACTTGGAAAGATCAACCACAATACAAGAAACTTCTCGAATCTATGGAAAAGTACGATCACTTTACAGACGGCAGCATGGCTCTAGCGATGCGCCGTTATGAGCACAAAAGGAAAGCGTCTCTCCAGCCTCCAGCTGGACATCTTCCCGTTCGCAGGAGACGCAGTATTAGCAATTACTTGCAAAGAACGAAGTCGGCGGAATCCGACTCGGACAAAGAATATGACACCACGCCATTTACTAATAAACCTCGCAGTGCAATAGCGTCTTCTGGGGAACATCAGCAAAATGAAGTCCAATCGTCACCCGACTTCAATAAGGGACCCGTCGGAATCTCGTCACCCCTGAGAAAAGTGTATATTCCACAACAAGAACAGGATTCCGCCAAGAAAGAGTATATAAAGAATATATCAAAGCTTTGCAGGGCAGACCAGATTCAGAAATATAACCGTGTTCAGGATAAAATTCGAGAATTTCTTGGAGGGAAACTTTTGGCCAGCGTACCAGATTTAGAACCCCTTACTGCAGAGGAACAGTCTATGTTGACTTTGCTCAGAGCGTCTAGGATGTGCAAAAAATAAATTTGGTACAGAAATGCACTGATTGACTATGTAGAAAATAGCTTGCACTATAATTTTTTTTATTTATTTTTGCTCTGGGCAATAGATACGGTGAAAATCATTATGAATCTTTTAAGTTATAGATAAGTATTTTTAAAGTTAAAACCAGGGCCGTAGCCTCAGGGGGGGCAGGGGGGGCAGCTGCCCCCCCCCCTGGGATTTGAGGTGCAAAAATAGATAAAAAAATAAATAATAATTGCAAAGGTAAATAATAATTAATAAAATAATAATTAACAAAAAATAATTGCAAAGTTGGTATCAATTCTGTGAGAAAATGAACTCATGGCCACTAGACAATCATTCAACAATCTGTTAACAAAGCTGTACTGTTTTTAGCCAACTCAGTTCATGCCAAAAAGC